AACCCTAAACCCCTAAACCCGCCCTAGAAAAATCGCAACACGGGGCCTGCTCACTTGGACCTGCCCTGCTGGCGCGGTGGATTCCAGGATCCTCGGAAGTCACCGCAAATATCAGCGGATTAGGGCTTTAGGTTCACCCTAATTTGAACCTAAACCCTAAACCCCTAAACCCTTTACCCCCTAAACCCTATAAACCCCAAACCCTATAAACCCTAAACCCCTAAAGCCGAAGCACCTAAACCCTAATTAATCCCTAAACCCTAAACCGAATCCCTAAAGCCGAAACCTCCGAAATCCCCAAAGCCTAAACGCTAAACCCTAATCCCTAAACCCTAAACCCTGAAAAACCCTAAACCCTAAACCCTAAACCCTAAACCCTGAAAAAACCCTACACCCCACTTCGGCGGCCCAGGGCGCTCCAGGCCCCTCATGAGGTCGCCGAAGAGGTGGTAGCGTTGCATGGAAGTGCCGACCTTCCGGTCTTTTCCCCCCGATTTCCGTAAGGCCTTTCAAGAAGGATTATGGGTGATGGGTTTGGGGTTTAGGGTTTAGGGTTTAGGGTTTAGGGTTTAGGGTTTAGGGTTTAGGGTTTAGGGGGTACTGTCTTCCCCCCGGATTTGGAAGCTTTCCGTAAGGCCTTTCAGGAGGGTTCGATGTAAAACACTAAACCCCTAAACCCCTAAACCTCTAAACCCTGAACCCTGAACCCTAAACCGTTATATGTACGGTCTTCATCGACGGCTCTATCTGGTGCAGATAAAAAGGGTCCTATGCGGCCTTTCCGCGGTTCCATGGGAGTTTGGGGCCCATAACTTACGCCCCAAACTCGCTGCCTTTGGTTCGGAGCTGCCGAGATGTCGGCTATCTTAACGCTGCTCAGGGGTTCGATGGGCTTTGAAGTAACCTGACCGAGCTTAGCCGCATCCTAGGCCGGGGCTTTCTCCTCCTTTCTGCCGGCATGATTTGAAGCCTAAACTCTAAACCTCAGTGACGTAGTCTCTTGAGGCTTGGGCAAGAGAATCTTCATCCGAACCAGGGAGAAAAGAGCATGGACGTTTCTTTCGTAATGGCCCCTTTAAGGAACAGGTCCCCCAAAGAAAGCATGAAAGTATGGTACTCCAGAACCCAGTTCATGGGGGTTTCTGAGACCTTAAACTCTAAACAAAAAACTTTCTGAGAATTTATGGGCATGAGATCCCTAAACCCTAAACCCTAAACCCTAAACTTTCTGAGAGTCCATGGGTATGAGATTGCTCTTCGGGATGCTTTCGGGGCTGACGATTTTCTAGACTTTCTTAGGCTGCGTCTGCAGGCCTGCTGGGTGCAAGGTGCTTTCGGACAGAACCCTAAACTTCTACGTATGAAAAGGTTTAAGGTTTAGGGTTTAGGGTCGGTTTAAGCCCCAAAACCACATGGAAGCCCGATAGAAGCTATCAAAACCCCCAAACAAGATCCATAACCTGGGAGTTGCACATCGTTCGGGCTTTTGTCAACAACCCTTTTTCCGGCTTGATGCTTAGGGTTCAGGATTTTAGGTTTAAGGCTCAAGGTTCAGAGTTTAGGGCTGGGGGTTCTGGGTTTAGGGTTTAGGCTTTAAAGTTTGGGTTGTAGGTTTTATGGCTCTGGGGTTTTGCATTGGAGCCGCAAGACGAACACCACAACGCGCAGACAAGCCCGATACTCTTTATCCCGAGTCGCGAATACCTGTGCAAGACACGGGGTTTCCCGGTTTCGGGTGCAGCCGTTAGTTGAAGCCAGAGCTTTTGGGGGTGGGCTTCCGGTTGCAAGTTTAGGGGCCAGGTTACGGCATTCGGTCCCGTGCTTTTTCGGGGGCAGAATCTGAGCTTTAGGCCATACCACCGACGCATTCCCCTGTGTGCACGCCCACGCGGCAACCTTGGACCAGAAAGGTAGAGTCGGATAGCCCTCAGGGAGGCCTTTGAAGGGAAAGGAGTGCTAAACTAAGGGCCCTTTGTAGGATCCTTTTTATGAGGGTGCCCCCTTCTTTTGGGTCCCTAATTTAACACAGGGGCCCTAGTTTAAACAATTACCCATTTTGATGTTTCCAAGCCATGTCATGGGAGATGCTAATGTTACATTGTAATGCAGTGTAACATTCCAACTGTCCACACAAGGCATTCTGATGTTGTCTTCGTGACATTGGTGCAAACATCTGTGCCAGAATGATATATGGAGGTCGGAATGATTCCTAATTACTGCGTAATTGTATCCACATATTGTCCCCATAAACCCCTCCAATCATGTGAAGACCCTTAACACTCCGAGATGGTGGGAACGCAGGACACATACACTGCCATTGCACCCGAGTTGTTCAGCATTAAACAGAAGTGCACCGCCAATGTCATCGCAACTAAATCAGATCTCTTGACTGGGGCACAGCAAAAGCACAACACCTGCGGGCGTGCACGATCAACCCCGAAGCTACCTGAAACGTCACACACAACCTGCACGTTGACCTCAAGGTTCGTTCTTCGGGTTGGATATTGCTTGAAGCTCGCCCTCAAAGAGAGCCCCTCACCAAAACTCCTGCAAACCCTAACCCCGTCAGCTCAGGGGCAGCTCCCACCACGGAACTCTAAAGACGGAACCTTAATGCGCCAAGCCGGGCCCTCGACCCTAAACCTTACACGGTAAAAAACAAAAACTCTCAAAAAGTGCAAAACAAACCATGGACGGAATCTTGAAAACACAAAAAAGGCTACGGTAACCTACCGGGAAAAAACACCTCAACCCAACAGAACTTCAAGGCGTGGGCTTGCAGACAGGCCGGGCCGCTGATGTTCTCACCGCATTGCACAGACCAGGCTCGTGTGGCCATCGTCATCTGTAGGCCGAACAGCACCACATGCCTAGGCTGTCTGGTGCTTAGTAGGGAATGGGGGAATGGGTTATAGGGACTACTATAAGGGACCTTCAAAGACTATCATAGGGATCCATTCCCCCACTCCCTACTAAGCACCACATGCCTTGGGGCCCGTTCAGGGTTCTCATGGTGTTCTACACAGTCTAATTTAGAGATCGAGGCTTTCCTGTTGAGACTTCTACAAAGACTCCTAAACGGGTTCTGCGAGGAGGTTGCGGGTTTAGCACTTCCGGGTCGTAGGGTCTGGGATGCAGGCTTGCTCCCCTAAACCCTAAACCCGAAACCCTAAACCGTTGGGTTTGGGGCTTTAGGATTTGGGCTTCGGGCAGCTCCGGGATTGGGGCGTTCGCGCGAAGAGCTTCCGCGCATGTTACAAAGAGAGCCCAGCTGCCCTTAATGTCAGCGCTTCAAGGACGCCCGAACCTATGGCAGGACGGCAAACGCAGGAATTCAATAGCCTAAGCTGAACCCCAAAGCAATCTTCCCAACCCTCCATACTAAGGAACCTTGCTATGGTAAGTGCGTTTAAAACTACCATAAACAAGGAACCCTATGATGGCAAGTGCATTTAAGTTACCATGAGAAGGAAGCCTATGATGGCAACTCAAAAACCCTCATCGAGAATCCAGTAGACCCCAAAAGCCCTGCCAGGACAACAAACACAAAAGCCCATAAACTCAACACCCCTGAACCCCTAAAGCCCCTAAAGCCGCCTAAAACCCCACAAAACCCCTAGACCCCAAAAACCCTAACACCCCTAAAGCCCTACGAATCGGCCGGACTGCAACGGCTTGTTGTCAACCGTCAGTGGGAAGTCTGCCTGCCCGGCCTTCGGTGTCAACATGTGGGGTGGCAGAAACTGAGCTCGTGTTACGGAAGTTGGTTCAAGGGCTTAACCCTAAACCCTAAACCCTAAACCCTAAACCCTAAACCCTAAACCCAAAGGATGGCTCGGCCGAGTTTCGGGTTCCACCGAAATTGGGATGCCCGGTATCTGGTGCCCCCTGCACGTCTACTCACGGTCTGAGGCTTAGGGGTTCAGGGTTTAGGGTTTACCTATAGTCTCCATTGTAGTTCTTTTGGGGGGATACCTTATAAAGTCCTTCATGTATAATTGGTTAAACCAAAATTTGGGGATACCTTATAAACATCCTTCATATATATCATTGGTTAAACCAAAAAAAGGAACTACAATGAAGACTATCGATTCTATAGATGTCCCAGTCCAGAGAGCTGATTTCAAATTAGGGTTCAGGGCTCAGGGATTAGGGTTTAGGGTTTAGGGCTAAACCCTAAACCCTAAACCGCAAAACCCAAAACCCTAAACCCAAACCTCTTTAGGGTTTAGGGCTTAGGGCTCCTCTTGAGCCCAGAACCCTACATCTGAACCTTGAAACCCCAAACCTGCGGAGACCCAGAGTTTTGAAAACCCCGGAGCCCACAGGCCCTACAGCCTTAGCCCCAGAAGGCAAAACCCGAAAGTACAAGAGACACCACCTGATGCAACGTCTATGTATGTGATGATAGAGCCAAGGAGCTATGTAGGCATCGCCAACTGTCTCAACCTTGTAGATGTCGTAGCGATCTGCTAGATCCTCGCAATGGCCGGAGGCCAGTTAGACCCACTCGTCGGCTTGTTGCGCCCCAACACGCATTTACAGAAGCCCAGCCACATGATGATTATGACTTGGAGAATCGTGGCATCGGCTTTGCTTCCCAAATGCCTTCTTCGCTTCCCCCTTTGACTTTGTATAATTAAGCGTGTATGAGCTCTAAACTCTCGAGCCTAAACCCGCAAGCCAAGTCCGCTGAGTACCCGGCATCAAAGAGGTCGAAAATCTGGCTGATGAATTTGACGACCTGTGCAGGAGCCGTAGGCGTTGGGGGTTTCGGGCTGTTTGGGTTTCGGGCTGCGAAGCACGGAGGTATCGCCAGTATCGTCGTCGCCTTCGCAGTTGTCGGTCGCGATTGCCACCGCCGTTTTCGTCATCATCTTCATCATCAGCATAATCTTGATCATCATCACCCGCAGCAGCACCAGAACCGGCACCAGCACCATCATCATCATCATCATCATCATCACCATCATCATCATCATCATCATCTCGATTTCATTCATCTCGATTTCATTCATCCATGTCACCATCTCCACCACTATCACCTCCGTTAACCATCACCGTAGCCGGTAGCATCACCATCGTCACATCATGCTCGACGTCCGCATCTTCACCAGCTCAGCTTTGCTAACCGCCAGCAGCATCCGTCACCCTTCGAATCTCAACAAAAGAGCAGCGGACGTCCTGCCCATCTGGGGCCTAGAATCTAGGGTTTAGGGTTTAGGGTTTAGGGTTTAGGGTTTAGGGTTTCGGGTTTAGGGTTTAAGGGTTTAGAATCTAGGGCTATGGCGTGCATCTGTTTCCCAAATCACGAAAACACCTTTAGAAGTGCTTCAGCTTGTCTCTGCGTGCTCTCGGCACCTGGTTTCGGATCACACTAATACCATATCCTTGAGGCTCAACTGCTCCAGAATCGAACGGTGAGCCTTCAACCCTAAACTACCCTAAATTCGAACAGCCTTCATACACCAAAGCCCTGATACACAAAACCCTTAATACCCCCCCCCTCCCAAAAAAACATCCGACAGTCTGAATCCCCCAAAACACCCCACCTGAATCAGTCGACATCCCTGAAGACCCTCAAAACCCTAATGTAGGGGCCTTAATACTTAGAATAGGGTCTTGGGGTCCTTTGTAGTAAGGAAACCCCCAAAATAGTAATGGTATAGATTACAATAGGGCTTTGGGATCCTTTGTAGTCTAAGTATAATAAGGAACCCAGCCGAAATAGTCAGGGTATAGGTAGACCCCTACATCCGGGAACCCTAAACCCCAACACCCTTTACAGAACCCTTGAGTGGAGCCCTTATAGGGAACCCTAGAAGGACCCACCTAAGCCTAAAACCCTAAAGCCCACAAACCAAAACAACAGCACAACTCTCAACCGCTGGCACCCTAAACCCCCAAAGCCCTTCGAGAACACTTTATTTCTAGGAAACGTTCAAGGGACCTCATAGAACCTGAACAAAATCTTAAAGCCCTAAAAGCCCTAAAGACCTCGGAACCCTCAAGAGGAACCTCTCACAATTCAAAACTATATCCGAAATCCTCAAATAAGGAACCCCAAAATAGTACTGGCCATTATTCAGGCAGGCCCCTATACTATACCCGAAAAAAACCTTGAAAAAACCCTAAAAACCCTTACAGAAAGCCTAAAAACCCTTAAAGAAACCCTAAAATCCCTAAAAAACCCTTACAGAAAGCCTAAAAATCCTTAAAGAAACCCTTCAAGAAACCTTCAGTTAGAAACTTCGGTGTGCTCCCACCTCCTCCGGCTCTCGGGTGCTCGCGAGGGCGGTGAAACCGCAAAGGTCAGACTGGGCGATGGTCGCCTGGGCGTGGCTTTGGGGTTTGGGGGTTTAGGGTTTAGGGTTTAGGGTTTAGGGTCCGGGGCTTAGAGTTTAGAGGCTTTGCTTTGGGGTTCTAGAGGGCCTTTTTTTGCATAGGTTTTAGGGTTTAGGGCTCTAGAGGGCTATTTAATGGGCATTAGGCGTCTAGGGTTTAGGTTTTTGGGATTAGGGTTTTTTAAAGTGTGCTGGACCCGGCTCGCCGAGCCTAAGATTAGGGTTTAGGGTTTAGGGCTTTATGGTTCTATGGCTTAGGGTGTAGGGCTCAGGACACTTATAGGGTCACTGCACGAAAGCTTGTGGGTGTTGTGTAAGGTTTTGGGGTTGCCTGTGGAGGCTTCGGGTTGAGGGATTAAGGTTTAGGGTTTAGGGATTAGCTTCCGTTTGCAAGCAAAGAAGCCGCGTTTAGGGTCTAGGGTTTAGGGTTGAGGGATTAAGGTTTAGGGTTTAGGGCTTAGGGATTAGGTTTAGGGATTAGGGCTTGGGGATTAGGGTTTAGGGCTGTAGGCTTTCATGGCACTCGCAAACGATGAACCCTCGAAGTTGACCGTCTCTAGCTGCAGGCGCAGCTTGAAGGGCTTCTCCGTTCGGACTTATTTAGGGTTTAGGGTTTTAGGGTTTAGGGTTTTAGGGTTTAGGGCTTTAGGGTTTTAGGGTTTAGGGTTTAGGGTTTAGCGTTAAGGTGAACGCAAGATGGACGCAAGATGGCTCACACATCAACCAATGTGCTCAGGGTAGTGTTGAAAAGGTGGGATTCCTGTCAAGGTTTTCGGGTTCTCTGAAGAGTTTTCTTTAACGGCTCTATGGTCGCCTGGGCTTCGCATGGGGGGTTGATCGTGCTTTGTAGGGCTTTGGGGTTGTTTACAAGACCCAACTCAAAAAAGCCCTGAAGCACTAAACCGTAAGATCCCGAAGCCCTAAGCTACAAAACTGCTGTCCGGACATTTTGACTTTTGAGCTTTTTTGGAACCCGAGTGAACCCCACGTCAATCCCAATGCTGCTGTATAGCACGGACCTTTCCAGGGGGCCATGGCTTACGGAGTTTGAAAGTGCATAAAGGTTCATCAAGTTCTGATCTTGTGAGGGCTAGGCTTCTTGTAGTGGTGACGTTGTACGAGGAGCAATCCTCGTCGTCAGCTGTCTGGACAAGTTGCATGCTTGTACTGATGAGACACGTAGTGCGCCAGTCCTCGGCGTCAGAAGGTGCTTCGCTCTGAAAAGTTCACGGTGTAGGGTTCGGAGGTTCAGGGATTTAGGATTGTAGGGTTTGCGGTCTTCCTTAGGGCGTGTAAGCGCTGAGGGTGTAAGGTGTAGGGCTTTGTGTGGCGGGTCTCTCACAGCTGGCGTGCCTTGCAACTCATCCTGATAGCTCTCAAAGGCTTCAAGAGTTTCTCTTGCTACGACCCAAGGCATGCTTCGTATTGCAGCGGTGCGGCGGGCTCTCTAGGCAGAGGTTGAAGAGTCCCATGGTTAAAATGTTCCGTAGCATCTCAAAGGCTTCTGAGCTTAGGAATATCCCTACAGTCCAGAAGCTCTCCGAGAATGACGGGTGCTCCGTTTATTTGATACGGTCTCTTCAGGCGCAATAAATAACTATGACCTATGAAACTTTACAAAACCCACAAAAAATAAGAAAGCTCTACAAAACCGCAGAAATAGCCTCCAAACTCCCACAAACGATAACCAAAACGGCCAGAGGGGCTCTTGATTTCCTCGATCACCAAAGGTGGCATCAGCGTCCCGAGGATGCCCTGCACATCTCGTGACTAGCAGGGGTCCACATTATGAGCCCCTGGCAACCCTGGTAGAGCCACCCTCAACCCTAAATCCACAAACCCTAACGTAGGGGCCTTAAGAATTAGAATAGGGCTTTTGGTGTATCATACTATTCTTGTAACAAGGAAGCCCCAAAAGAGTATAGGTAATTATTAAGGCCCCTACATTAGCCCCAACTGCCCTTAGAGAACCTTGGCCGGTTGGAGGGGTCGGGTTTTGAGCGCTTAGTAGAATTCTAGGATTTCGGGTCATGTAGGGTGTGGGGTTTAGGGTATAGGGTTTAGGGTTTAGGCTATAGGGTTTGGGGTTTAGGGTTTAGGGTTTAGGGTTTAGGGTACAAGGTTTGGGGGTTAGGGCTCTAGGCTTTGGGGTTTGAGGGCTTTAGTACGCCAAGTATTTAGTCTTCAGGGCCTCCGAACCGTGGTACGCGCCGACAAAAAAGATGTGACTCTTGAAACCAAGTGCAGACCCACGGGGGCTACCGTAGCTTCCGTGAAATTCATAGCATGCTTTCTTCGGTGGGGGTTTAGGGTTCAGGGTTTAGGGTTTAGGGTTCAGGGTGTAGGGTTAGGGTTTAACGGGCGACAAGTAGCGGTTCAAGACACTGCTCGAAAACCTTCGACCCTCGGCAACAACAGCAATAACAGCAACAACACTACCGCTGCTGCCACTGCTATGACTTCAACCAAACAAGCAAACGCATACAGTGAACCATAGTGAACCAATGCGCAAAGGCACGAGCCAAAAGAATGGTCCAGGAAACAACGAAGCAAGCAACAAAACAGCGAAAGACAACCTGTGGAACCCCGTAGCCATGAAAACGCACACGACGCTATACGACGGGACGATGCCGTGACCGACCATGTCGCATTTGCAATCTGATGCGTATTGATGCGTACTCGACTGGAATCTCGAGAAATTGCAGCGACGAGCGACGTGAAGACTGGAGTTTGCTGGTTCACGGTTTGGGGATTAGCCCCGCAACCTCTGCGCGGGTTCTTCGCTATATGTGGCTGCTCGCATCTTCTGCTAAGGCCTACGTGGAGTCTGCAGACGTGGCCACCAGCGAATCAGCCAGCAGCTAGAAGCTACGTTGCACTCACCCATCTGGACCCTCCCTAAACCCCTAAACGCTAAGCCCCTAAACCCTAAACCCCTAAATCCTAAGCTCCTAAACCTAAACCCTAAACCCCTAAACCCGAAACCCTGAACCCGAAACCCTAAACCTCACGGACCTGTGAGGCACCCTCTCGGAAGCGTGAAACCCCCGACACTACAAAACTCCACAGCCCGAACTCGAAATCCGGATGCAGAAGCCAAAATAACTACCAAAAATCTTCCTCAACACTCCTTTCCTAAGTATACCAAAATACCCCCAAAACCTTTATTCCAATGCTTCAGGCCCCTGAACCAAACCCCTGCCGCAGAAGCAGCTAAGCCCGGGTTCAACACAACAGCTGCTACGGCCAACGCCTCGATCCGCTCTTGCATTACCTCGACCCGATGCATGGCGATGTACCTGCGCTTCTCAGCAGCTCTTGCATTTCTTGGAGGGTTTAGGGTTTAGGGTTTAGGGTCTAGGGTTTAAAGTTTGGGGTTTAGGGTCTAGGGTTCAGGGTTTAGGGTCTAGGGTTCAGGGTTTTGGGTTTAGAGAGTTTAATACTGTCTACTGTATACCATACCCAGAGCCCGGCTTTGACTCCTCCGGCCCCGACATTCCTAAACCCCAAACCCTAAACCCTAAACCCTACAAAGGCTCTACGTCCTCCTCTCAGAAGGCAGGCAAAAGACTATATTTTCTGGAGATCCCTACAAAGGAAAAGATACCCCCCAAAAATGCCGCGCTAACACAGCAACCAATAGCCTTAAAGTATGGTATAGTATAGTATCCCTATAAGACTGAGTTGGAAAAGAGTAATGGCATGAGAAGGTTGTCAAGACAGTCCCAGCGGCTGGAGAACGATTCCGAGAAACTTTGTAGACTCTCAGTTATGGCATAAGTACATGCTAATTTCGACCGCTATAGACAAATTGGCTTCAGGACGGCTTTACAAGTGCCTTATAAGTGGTGTTCAATGGAAGGGCTTGATATGGGAGATTCAGAAAACATGGACGCGAGATTTGCACCCTGAACCCTGATCCCCAAACGCTACACCGGAACGCCCTAAACCCTAAACCCAAAGCCCCAAACCTTATAAGCCCTTAACCCAAAAGCCCTAAACCCAAAACCCTAAACCCAACACCCCAAACCTTATAAGGCCTAAACCCAGAGCCCTGAACCCTAAACCGTAAACCCTAAACCCAACGCCCTAAAAGCCTAAACCCTGAGACTTCCTCAGGCTTCACAACGCTCCGAAAGACCCGTAGGAGACTCGGACCCCGTCCTTAAGGGTAATGTAGGGGGGGCCTTCATCATTAGAATCGGGTTCTGGGGTATATTACGCTGTAACTGTAGGTATCATAAGCAACCTTCAAAGTAATATGGGCAAATTATCAAGGCCGCTATTGATAGTACTGCCTAGCAGCACAAGGGCGACCACAAACTCTTCCAGCCGCAGAGCTCCAGGAAGAGGTTGCTAAAATTTGGGGGGGTCCCTATTTTGAGTTCAGGGTTTAGGGGTTTTGGGGTTTTTAGGGTTTAGGGTTTAACGGGTTGTTGTAATTCTAGGGCTAGTGTAACGGTGACGATTTAAACGGGCTACGGCAAGGGTTTAAGATATGGGTGCTCGTACTTCCGAACTCCACAAGGATCCAAGAAGGGCTTTCTCTCTCTCTCTCTCTGCCTTGCTGGGTTTAGGGCTTAGGGCTTATGTGGGTTAAAGGTTTACGTCCGAACTTACATGCCCTAAAGCAACCCTTGACGCCATGAAGCCCTCAGCATTGAACCCCAAACCCAAAACCCTAAACCTAAAAACCTGAACCCTAAACCAGAAACTGCCCCGGATCCGCTCGCCTTTGCCGGAGCGTGTACTCCATGGAGTAGATCCGGAAAGAATTGAACAGGCTGATCACCTCGGATCTGAAAAACTTTAGGGCTTGGGGTCTCAACTTGAGTCTAAACCCGAGTGATTCGAATTAGGGGTACCCTTCTTAAGGACAGGCCTAGGTAGCTAGACATTACGAGGCTTGATGCTATGATTCTGCTGAGCTATACAAAAAAGCTGTTAGCTTCAACCAGGAAAGCAGGGATCCGAGGTTGCTGGTGCATTTACTACGGCCTCGCCGCTAAAGCCATACACCTCTTGTCCCTAAAGCCCCGAAAAGCCTAAATCCCAAAACCATAACACCCAAAGTGAAACCCTGAACCCTAAACCAACGGAGGCCGATTTAGAACCCAGCACCTCACTTGGGGTGATACGTAACTGCTAACTATGAGTATCGCTACCGTTTTTACAACATTAGTTGCTACGTCCTCTGACCCTCTAAGAAAACACTAAACGGAAGCCCTCAAAACGAACAAAACCCTGAAACCGAATCTCCCAAAGAGAAGATCCTTCAGGAAACCCTTCTGTTTCCTAAGCCTGCTGCTGTTTCGGACCCTAAACCTTAAACCTCAAATCCCAAACCATCAACTAAACCCTAAACCCTAAACCACAAACCATCAAATAACCCCTAAACCCGAAACCATCAACTAAACCCTAAACCCCCAATCATAAACTAAACCCTAAACCTGAAACCCCAAGACATCAACCAAACCCTAAACCTGAAACCCCAAACCACCAACTAAACCCCAAACCCTAAACCCCAAACCATCAACAAAACCCTGAACCCGAAACCCCAAACCTTCAGCTAAACCCTAAACCCGAAAACCATCAACTAAACCCTAAACCCGAAACCCCAAACCATCAACCAAACCCCAGACCCAAAACCCGAAATCACCAACTTAACCCCCAAATCCCAAACCACCAAAAGGACCAGCCCTCCGATCCGTGAGGCCCGGACGTTTAAATAATTCAGCAAGCCCTCGGTGTCGAAGACCTTCAGAGCTCTTCCGGCGTTGGGGTTTAGGGCTTTTTGGGGTT